CCCCAAAACCCCAAAACCCCACTACAGCTGAATTCGATAATTTATAAAATTGGATATGATTAGAAATAAATATATTATTATAAAGAGAGTGCTTTGGAAGTACACATAAACAACTCATAATAAATCTTTGCAACTTATCAACATAAAATAATTGGAAAATATGTCAAACTTTTTACTATCTGTCGCATCTATAATAATATTTGTCCTGCTAGGAATTTATGTAATTCTGGGATCGTTTATGGAGCATAAAAAGGCACCAGTAGGCCATGAGACTGGAGTGGCGATACTAACGGGGTTTTTGGTATCACTCATAGCATGGGCAGCAGGATATAAAGATCTTACTAATACTCTTGAATTCAACGGAGATGTGTTTTTCTATCTATGCTTACCACCTATAATTTTTGCATCTGGATTTAACATGAGAAGAAAGAGATTCTTTGAGAATATTGGGTATATTATGCTCTTTGGTCTTTTCGGGACATTATTAACTTTCATAATGTTTTCAATTCTCACATATGCATTTATGCAAGCTAACATCATGTACAAGTATGATGGTGAAAAGTAAATTAATTTTATCCTGATATTCTTAGAACAGTCGCTTTCCAGTTAAGCACAATGGAATGCCTTTTAGTAAGCTCATTGCTTTGCTCATCAGATGTAATAGCCGCTATTTCAATCATTAAATACGAAGAATAGCCAAAACTCTTTTCGCTTATTTTCGGAGAAGGTATTGTAAATGATGCTGTCGCAATCATTTTGTTTAATACTGTTTCATTGTTTGTTGGAGATCATGTTGAAGAATTCACAGGGGCTACTCCTTTCAAAATCATAGGAAACTTCCTTCTATTGGGATTTGCATCAGTAGCAATAGGTTTAGTTTTTGGGTTATTAGGATCATATATATTTAAAAGAATGAGATTCTTAACAGTTTCAGCAGTCAAGGAAACACTACTGATATTCTGCTTCGGTTATATGGCTTATGCTACTGGAGAGCTCGCACATATGTCTGGCATTATTTCATTATTGACATCAGGTGTTGTGATGGCACATTACGCATGGTATAACTTATCACCTTAAGGTAAACATGTTTCAAGCGTAGCATTCTAAGTGATTGGTTTTGGATTTGAGGCTTTTGTATTCGCATATTTGGGACTAGCGATCTTTGCTTACTCTGATTATGATTGGTCTTGGTAATTTATTTTAATAGAGATGATAATTATTGTGATTGGAAGATATTTCGGAGTATTAGGGCTTATATATTTATTAGTAATGTGTGGACATAAGAAGTAAGTTAACTTCAAAGAATTGGTATTTATATCATATGCTGGTATGATTAGAGGAGCTATTGCTTTTGGATTGGTATTAAAGATAGAGGGAGTAGCTGATAAATCAGTGATTGTTACAACTAGTTTAGCTCTTGTCATAATTACTACAATACTTTATGGGAGTTTAATGCCATTGGTTTAAAAGAAATTAGTTCCACCTTAAGAATCAGATAAGCATGAATATGATGAGAACTTAGAAGTAGAAGAAGTTGATGGACAAGACGGTTCTGGCAAGTAAGACAAAATAAATAATTCTCATTCTGAACATGAGGAATTTTTACATCCAAATATGATTAAAGAAACTGAAGATGCATCGATGCTAATCAGAAAATCTTAAATGAGTAAATCTTAGATCAATCACAGAAACAATCTAAAGAAGAAGAGAACTTGCATGCACTATTTCAAGACATTTGATGATTAAATCATGAGACCGATTCTGATACACAATTATGAGCCTGATATGATATAAAAGAAAGATGAGTTCATCGAATTGTTTGAAAAGGATGGACATAAATGGGAGTAACTTTATCTAAGTGAATAGCACGCTTTAGAAGATCATGAGCATGATCATGCACCAGGATAAAGTATTATGAGACATATTGGATCAGTTGCTGTTTAGAAAAGTATTTTGAGAAATACTAATCTCTAGATCAGAAATAGTACACTTAGCAACAATAAGTAAGTTGGATTTAAATCTATCATTGATGGCATCCAAAGTCAAAAGAATTCTGTCGCTAGACCTTAATATAAGAGTCCAATGATTGAAAATAAGATGAGACCTATTTCTGGAAGGAAGGATGATATCACATTAGTAGTTGAAGCAGCAGAGGATAAAGAGGACAATGATATGGATGAGACTGCTCACCTTGGAGGTAACGGAGGAAGCCAAAGCTAATCCTGATCGATTAAATCAATATTTCTTAATTTCATCATTAATTTGCCTTTGAAATAAATATACTCATGGGGTTTTGGGGTTTTGGGGGTTTGGGGTTTTGGGG